ATATAAAATAAAATAGCATATAAGAACTCATTACTACAGTTAACAGTAGTAATGAGTTCTTATCTTAAATAAAATAGCATATAAATTACAAGTATAACTATAACTAAAATATGCTATTATTAATTATTTAGATTTATAAAAGCCATATTGCCTTGTTATTGGCATCAAGATATTTAAATTATTACAAAAAATAAATCAAGTTGTTAAAATTTTTTTAAATATACAAAGATTAAAAAAGCAATTTTGTTAATATTTATTTCATTTTTAATTTAAAATTTGAAAATTACTTTAATTACAATCAAAAGAGAAATTTTTAAAAAGTAAGTATTCGGCCACCGAATATTCGGTCTAAAATTTGGCCGAATATTTGGTATTCGGCCACATCACTATTCGTTACATCACTAATTTTAGCCCTTTAGCGCGCAGTGGTATGACAGCTAAACCGCTCTTTTAAAAAAAAATTTACTTAACGCACAACGGTCAATTTCTGAAACCAATACTTTTAAAGTAATATTTTAAAAGTTTTCAAGGCTTTTTTTATTTACTTCAAAAAAAATTTTTTTGCCCAATGAAATACAAAAAGAATTTGAAATATTCTACTGTTGTTTATGAGCTCCTTTTGACATACAAAATTTTTCCCAATAAAGATTCCAAAGAAAAGTATTTAATTTTTACATTTATTTTTCCTGGTTTCAGAGTGAGGCCACTGTGCCCCTAGAGCATACAATATTCCAACCAACGAATGTCCTTTTTCTCCCTTTCACTCATTTAGATAGTGAAGTAGATCAAAATTTATTAGGATTTTTCGTTAGCATGGGGCTTATGAAAGGAGAACCATGTGTCTTTTATTGATTTTTATTTAAAATAAGGCCAATTACCTCAAATTTCTTACCTGAAGCAAATTTGTTCTTCTCATTTGCGTTCTTTTTGAATTAGTGAACAGTCATATTGAGTTGATGCTAAATTTATTTTTTATTACTAATTTTACTGCATTTTGCTTGTCTTAAAAATTAACAATTTAAATTTTTTTTTATTATTTTTATTTTGTATTGTTGATTTTCAATTACGAGATGTGAGTTTAATTCTTTATAATGGAAAAATTCCAGAATATATATAGCAGAGAATGTCGTAGTAAGATATTTATTTTTTATTCAATTTTATTATATATTTTATTTTCATTATTATATGTTTCTGTATTATTTATTTCATCATAATATTGCATAATATACATTATATTTGTATTATATTTTATTTCTTAGAACATTTTTGGTGTTTAAAATTCATAGGTTTTATTTGCGCTATTATATATTTTGTATTTTATTACTTATTTTATTATATTTGTTAAAGCCTTTTTTCGAGTTTAAAATTATATAAATGATTTTAGTATTTAAGTTTATTATTTAGTTTCAATAAAGTTAAAATTTATCGTAAAAAATGTTAAAAAACAAGTTTAAAAAATATTATTTTCTTATCAAACGAAAATGTTCTATGCGGACAGCTATTAACCACCGAAACCCCCCTTCCCTTGTGGGACAATGAGTTAGAATTTTTTTAAGTGCAATTTTCTCGTTCATAGACCCAATGCATCATAATTAGTTCCTCAAATTTAAAAAAAATATGAAAATTTGTATTAGCATGCCTTTAAAGGGTTTTTATATGGAATTTTGTGGTCATTAAAATTCGAGGTCTAGTCTGTTTCTGTAGAGGTTGGAGTCAAAAGCACTTACAGGAATGAAATGTAATATGAAAGTAGATGGTAACCATATCAGGTTATATTTACCTTAGATCTGCAACTATGCCTTATCTTTAATTTTTCAAAAAATTTTAAAACCAATTTGTAAAGATTTTAGCAAAACTTCTTTTTTATATTGCACAAAAATATTGAATGAAATGTATTATTGCATGCAGTGTTTTGCCATAGTAATTTAAATTTATTACAATAATGACCTTTAACAAATTGAAGCTTGCCTGAAGGTGAGGAACTTACTAAAGAATTTCAGCCACCTGAAGAACTTGATTTTGAAGCTGTTCAAACATCTTGTCCAAGGTTGAAATATCCTTTTGTACTCATAATGTTTAATAAAACGCTCTCAAACATAACAAATCCCGAAATGGTAATTGCATCTATTAATTTAATTTAACAATTTTTACTTTCTATTACTATTTTGCATTTTTAGTTTGATAAAATTTCATTTTTGGTTAATACTTTTTACGTCTACTTAGATGGTTTTAATGTTTTTTGACAGCAGGATAGCTATTCTCATATGGTCTGCATACTAAATTGGTTTAAAAAAATTGTTTTCTTTATTAGTCACCATTAGAAGATTATGGTTCAGTTGGCAAAGTAAGAAAAGAAACAGTGGAAAACTTAGATTATGTTTTCAGATTTTCACTTACTAAATTTCAATTATTATTCAATTATTATATTCAATTACTAAATTTCAATTATTATTATTCACAATAAATCAAAAGACTGACTTGCATATCGCAATTATATTAACCCTTGCAGTTTTACCAACTCATAAAATTTTTCCAGTTAAGGCCCTTTAAAATAAAAATGCCAAATAGTATTTAGTTGTTAAATGATAACTATTAAAGTTATAAAATTTGCAAGAAAGAGTGCTTATAATTCAGTAGCTGACGAATAGCTAAGATAAATATTAATTAATAATCTGGAATTTTATATTATTAAGCATAGTAAATAGTAATAGTTTTCAGTGGTGCCTAATTTTTTTTGGTTGCAGGACAGTTGTATTTGTCGCCAAAGAATGGCATCTTGTCTAGTTTTGAATATGTTTTTTTATGTATATATAAACTGAAAATAAATTAAATAACCTGAATTTCATTTAAATGAAAACAAAACTAAACTCTTGTAAGCATTCAAAATGATTATCGGGGAGACATATTTCTTGATTGTTGAATTATTTATTTCATTTTGAATTCAAAGTAAAATGGAAATTACTAACATTCTGTTTTATAGATGGATATCCTTCAAATGACTTATTTAATATATTGTTATTAAAAATATCTGTAATTTTTTTCACATTTTTTTTACTGGCATTTTAATTAAAAATTTAGTAAAAATAACCAAAATATTAAGTAAATGATAAATAATAGATTGGATAAAACAAAATTACAGGTTTAAAAAATCATTAGTAGTAGTTGAAAAATAAGTTAATAGAAAAGTCCTAACTCTTGGAACCCTTGTGACTTTTCCTTGGAACCTTGGAAATCCCTGCAACACTTTTTGGGAATCACTGATCAAGAGAGATTGAGCATTTATAGGTCTAGTGATTTTAAATAAGTGATGAAGTTCTAGAAATTAGGTGTGTAATTTGTGCAATTAGTGATCAGTGGGCTCTGATTAATGTGGCTCCATTTAATACGAATCTTCAGTTAATTTAGGCACATTTGTAGTCCTTGTTAATTCCTATTACTAATTAATACTAAGTAATCTTAATGTGTAGTAGTCTTAGGATTCTGAGGACAAATTTCATTGTACAGTTAAACTCATTTATAAAAGAATGTAGGAACTCGGACAATTAGCTCCTAAAACCAGGATGACCATTCTGACAAAATCAACTAAAATTATCAAGTATGTATAATGTATGAAATAAATTAGAAAATGTTTAAAAAAGAGTTTCTTTTTTATTCATTTGATGTTTTTATGAACCTCGGCAATTGTTTAATTTATAACTTGCATGCCACAAAATACATTATCACTAACACTTATACTGCAAAACAGTTTGCTATTACTCAGCTAACTCTGTGTCTTTGTAAGTGGGTGATGCTGATGATATTCTGGGTTTTAGGAACATGAGCAAAAATAGGCATAGAATTATTTTAATGGTTTGCATAATAATATATTTTATTAGTCATTGTGTGATTGATGAATACATGTGAGGAACGTCACATTTTGTCTGTATATTGTATAGTTACATATTATTTTTACACTAAAGAGGTGCTTGTAACCCTTTTGAAAAAGAATGTAACTTTAAAAAATATTTAAACTCTTATTTTCTGAATAGTTTTTTAAATTTTTTGGAAAACTCGTCATTTAATCATTGTGATGCTCACTATAACATGATTTTGAATAGGTTTTTAACAAGAAACCATTCACTTATATTAAATATTTTTTATTTAAATGCGAGATCGCCTTAAATTGGAGCTTATAATGAATTACTTCAACTGCATATTTTGCATATTTCTTATAGTACAGAAAAAAAGATTAGTTTCTCTTCTCCTCAAGCAATTTTTGAACCAATTTTTTTTTGTCTCTAACTGTTGCAATAAGAAATGCTATCATTTTTTTAAATTGTCAGTGGAATTCAAATTGCAAAAGTAAAAAAAGGGTAAAAATTCACTGGGAATTTGGGTATAAAAACTCATTCAAGGATTACAGATTAGTATGGCAGAATGCTAGCTTGAGTTGTTACTGAAAAATTTATATTGGCTCAAAATTGATATCAAAATAGATTTAAAAGACATACTGGGATAAATAAGATTTGTATTATATGTTTAAAAGTTAATTTTTCATGTGTGAAAACAATATTCATTCATTGAATATATGTTACACAAGTTGCGTCTTATTCCAATAATATTTTGTTTTAAAAATAATGTTTTTTTCCTAAGCTTAGCCAAGTATAGCAACTAGAATTTTAAAATATGAACACAGTTTTTATAATATATAAATAGTTTAGTTTGTTCTCTTTTCAAAAGAATGAAAAAAAATTTTTTTTTTCTGCATAGTGTCCTTTATAAAACTTTTACTCAATTAAAATGAACATTGCCTGTTTCAGACTTTATTTAGTGTGGATTAATATGTTCTTTTCTTGTGAATTCGCAACAATGAGACACCACTGTATATATAGATAAATATTTGTTAAATGATTATTTGGATTTAAGTTATGACCATATGGGAATAACTGCATCAAAATAATAAAACAATAACTCCCATAGTTCAAAGTGAGCAATATAATATATATATATTGACTTGTCAGTGTGGCCGAGAGGACAGAGTCGTCGTCCTGGAAAGACTGAGATTCAGGGTTCGATCCGCAGAACTGTAAGAAAATATAAAACTCTAAAATAAGCTTTTATTTATTATTTATGTTTCTCCTAGAAGTTTCTAGAATGTTCTAGCATATAATTTCCTGTTTCTATCATTTCCTGTTATTATTCCTATAAAAGACTGGGTGTCTTAAGAAGGGGGCCAGTTACTTTGTTCACTGTACTTTGTAGGTGTTGAATAAAGCTCTCCAACTTTGTAGACTAAGTCCTATTTATTCTACGTGACAATATATATACACGAGGCTCATCCAGAAAGTAAGTTTCCCTAATTTATTAAAAAAAAACAAACTCACACCTTCAGGAACATATTTATTGGCAACAAGTACAGCACTGTTTTAGCCATTTTTCAACATAGCCACTACCAGAATTGAAACACTTGTCGTATTGTGGAATCAACTTTTGTATCCCTCTGTCGTAGAACTCTGCCACCTGTGAATGGAATCAATGTGTGACAAACGTCTTCTGCTCTTCGTCGCTCACCGGAGGACAGGAATTTCTTGAGGTGCAAGAAAACGTGATAATCACTGGGAGCAATATCAGGGCTGTAGGGTGGATGATCAAACTACTCCCAGCCAAATTCCCTCAAAACAGCTGCTGTGCATCACTCCGTATGTGGACAAGCATTGTCATGGAGGAGTGCAACACCTGCAGTAAACATTCCATGACTCTTTTTTTTGAATGGCAAGTCACAATTTCCGCAGAAAAGGTGGAAAGGAAAAGTAACAAGGATCCTGCTGTGAATATATTTATGGTTGACAAATATTTATATGTATTATTTCAGTGCTACAGGTTCACTGTTTGCATAAGTAAAAAAGATAATATTGTTTGATTGAAAAAATGACGGATTAACCAGATTTTTTTCATTTTTAAGTAAGTTGTTGTAATTATTATTTTCCATATGAAACTAATAACTATAACAGTTCTGTAGTTTCTCTTATTTTAATTGTGGATTAAGTCGTGACAAGGGGTTCATATAGTAATATCAATATAAACTTATCAAATTTCTATGTTTGTTGCAACCGGAATATTTTATTTTCTCCAAATTAATATATATAGATCCGATTGTGGCAGATATGAAATTTTATTTTCATTGTTGAAGCTAATATTAAGAAATTTTTTGCTTCTTTATGACAAAATTGATACAAGTTGTTAATTTTTTCTAGGTGTGTACCAATCCTGCAAGATAATGTTTTTTCTTAGACTTGAAAATAAACACTCACCACTTGGGTGAGTCAACAAAAAGAAGTGGCAGCTTAAATATTTATAAATAAATTCTTTAAAGTCTTAATTTCTTACCCAAATTTTAATTCTTAATTAAATTTTGTCACATTAACTAAATTTTGTCACAGTCTTAACTACATTTTGTCACAGATTTATATTGTTTTTATTGTTGAATTAACTTTTTATGGTGGTAGATTATTTCTATTATGATTTTTTTAAGTATAATTTTATATAAGCAAAAAAAAAAAAAATTGCAAAAAGTGGCTATTGAACTAGGACCTATTGACATTGGTCACCGAATCATTAGGTTAGTGGCTACTAAGTTTTTAGAGTCTACTGGCTACTAATGGAAATTTTGTATATTCAGGTCTTATTTTTCTCCAAATCCTGTATATTAAACCATGTAAAGGAGAAATTCGATGCATGTTTAAACATGTCTGCATAAGGGCAAAAATGTTGCTGAGCAGATAATAATAGGTGGAATATTTTTCAATTGAAAACCTCAGCCACCTTAAGCAATAGTTCTAACTATGATAATCCTAGCTGAAGCTAGCAATGTTATTTATCCAATTGTCTTGTATACAATTCGAAGCATCTGTGTTCTTTTTATTATGTCTCAAAGATGAACAAGAAAATTTTCTTCACTATAAATTATAAATGATGTGCAGTTTTGTTGTCAGTTTTAAAACAATAGGACTTTTCAGCTTTTCTCCATTAGCCTAACTGATCCACGTATAAGACTACCTTTTGTAATTTAGATTTAAAGAAAAGTTCTCAACCTATAGATACATATGCTTGATTATGGAGTTACGGTCAAATGTTAACGTCAACTCAAAGGGGGACAGAAAATTTGCTCATGTTAAAAGTAATTCATGTTATCAGTTCAGAAATTTTTTGATAAATATCATACTATACGTAACTTTCTATTATTTATATCTGCTATCTATTTATGTTTTCTCATCTTAAATTTCTTTTTTGAATATGTAAATTAATATATATTTCATTTCAATAAATGTTTTTAATTTTATATTAAATTAATAACTTCTATACATCTCATAATAAATGCAGCAAATTACTTTAAAAAATAAAATTAAGTTATAAAAGAAGAAAAATTTATTTTAATTAAGACAAAATTCAAAAAAATGTACTTACTTTCGATACTCTATCTTTTTACCAATTCTGTACTAGCAAATAAAAAGTTCCATAAAAGTAGAAAAGTAACTAACTAAAAAGAAAAAACTGATTTGTCTCATAAATTAGAGAGCAATAATACTCAGTTATCAGTTAATCAGTTACTAACAAAATAATCAGTAATAGCTTGCTGTTTTGATTTCTTATTCACTCATACTTTCCAAAAGTCTTCAAACTTATTAACTGTACCCCAAATATGATTTGAATGTTCATTTTGCATTACAAAAGAACGAACTGTTTTAATTTCATCGATAGCATCCATCAGAGGAAAGTAAACCAAAGTATTCACTAGAGAAATTTCAGAAGCATTTTAGCTGTGCACGTCTTCTATAGAAATGCATTCAGCTATATCAATTTCTTAGAATAACCTATGAGAGTGTTGAAAAAATGACTACCCATATTGAATAAAGGATGAATATGGGTGATCATTTCTCAGGAAAACATGCTTCTTCACATTCACACCTATGAGAGGAAAGAAAGCTTGTCATATTAGAGTTCAAAAGGATTTATGTTGTTTCCTGTAAAACCCCTCCCCCCTCAACACATTCAATTCATATAACTCTTTCATTTGACTGCTGTAATGCTGCAATTATGTTATGATGCAGGTATAGAATTGTGAATGGTCAATTTTCTTTCCTGTCAAAGGGGAAATAAATTTTCTGTTCACATTAAAAGGAAATTTTTTTCCAAGGGTAATGGAATTAAAATTCACATTAAAAGATATTTCACATTAAGTATGTTTACATTAAAAGTACTTTAAAGTATTATATCTGTACACAATTTGACAGGGAACGTTAAGCGTGTTCATGTTAATGGAGTTTGACTGTAACATACTTAGTTTCCTTTATTTAAGGTAAATGCTGGATGCTGCTGATGAACAGTGAAATTTTTGCTATCTATTATTTCCTTGTTTACTTGTTTTATTTATTTACTAAGCAGTAAATATTTATTCTATACTTTTTTTAGATGCTGTTAGCAAATATTATCCACATACCAGATCAAGAAATAAAACTACCAGCTGAACTTTATCTACAATATGCCAAAAGTTCAAATGGCTATCTTGGTATTGTTAAAGTAATGATTTTATTTCTTTATATTTTTATCCATTACAAATTTTATTTACTTTGAAATTAATATTGAAAAAACATAGCTAATTAATTTAAAGATGCATTATTTATAAATTGTAACGTAAAAAAAAACATTTATTCATAAGGTATTATTTTGTTTTGGACATTATTTTCTTAATTTTTAAAAAAAATTGTATTTATAAAGTTTTAGTCATAACTCATGACGTTGTTAAATTACATTAATTGTTAAGTTTTTCAACTTCATTTAATTAGTAATAAAATTTATGCGTTTAAGTTTTTGATTGTTTAAAAGTAATAATGTTGTTCTAACATACTTATTTAATATACATATTTTCTTTTCAGAAAATTTACCCTGGATCATTTGAGTCATCACAAACTGGAAATGAACTTTGTGTTGTGTGTATGTCTAGAGAAATATCTGTAGTTGTGGTACCTTGTGGACATATATGTTTGTGCCAAACATGCTTTGAACTGTGCAAAAATTGCCCCATTTGTCGTGGTCCAATACATTATTATTTTGTATCAAATACAGTCTCTCAGAGCTAGTCTTTCAATTTGAAAAATGTGATATTTTGCATTTCTGACATTTGTATTATTTGGTATCATTTGTTGCAGCAACTAAAAAATTCATTTTTTTGAAGGTGTTATAAACTTTTCATGATTTTTCTTCATAGAATAAATGTTAGTAAGCACTTACAAGCACAAAAAATATAAATAAAAGACAGTATTGAAAAATAGTGTTTTAAATTAGTTTATTGAAAGAAATCTGAAAATATTATTAACCGAACCAAAAAGTCTTCAAATATTTATCTAGAATTACTTTCTAGAAATGAAAAATTCTACATTGTCATAATTTATAATTGTGTTAAATATTTTAAATTAATTTAAAAAGGTTTTAAAAACAATAAAAATATAAAAGTTTTTTGTTAACTAAATACTGCTGCCTAGATATTGATGTCATGTCTGATAGCATTCGCTTATTTTCATTTTTAAACTATATAATTAGATTTTATGAATGGAAATTGTTGTTTATCAGAGAAGACTGTTTAAAAAAGAAATATAAACATCTATTTAAAATGTTCTGTATTTGGCTTATGAAGCTTAAGCTTTTTGTTATTACAGTAGGGGACCGATTATCCGGAACGGTCGGGACCATCACTACTCCGGATAACTGATTTTTCCGGTTTTCTGAATCGCTACAAAAAGCCGTTTTTTTTATTGTTAAACCCAACTAAGAAAAAAAAAATTGGAAATAATCTTAAAAATAAGAAAAAACGATAAAGTAATACACTAATGATTATTTTCAAAATGATGGTAAGGTAAACATCTTTAAAAAAAGAAAGAAAAATCGTAAAATCTTATGAGGAAAAATTTTTATTAAAAAAATGGCAAGAAAATTTATCGAATTTTGTTCCGGTTTTTTGGTTTTCCGATTTCCGGATAATGGGTTCTGTACTGTAGTACTTTTTATTATGTCATGTCTTTTATCATAACTAGTAATTTATATATATATACATACAGGATGGTTCAAAACTAATTGTGCAAAATGTAAAAGCAGGTAGAGACAACCGAAATAAGCATATTTCATAAAGGAATGTGTGTGGAAATGCCGCATTAAGCCAAGCACTTGAGCGTCTTCATCGGGAGTTCAGCAAGAATTGATCAGTGTATATTGACCCTGAATGGTATCACAGAATTCCTGCTGTGGAAAAAAGAATAAAATAAGCATTAAAAGGCAATCCTTTAAGAGCTTTTGGACGTGCATTGGAAGGTGAGCCATGTAACTTTTATGAAGATGGAATACATCCATATCATTTGCAAAGTGTGCAAGCATTGACCATTATTTTCAACTTATCCTCTTTGCCATCTGCTATCAGGCTGGATCAAATCCCACTTTCTCTACAGATTTTTGATTCACTGATGAGTAATCCTTTTGTCGCTCAGGTATGTTTAACATCCATATTTCTCACCTTTGGGCTTATAACCCACAGGGCAAAAGAGCATACGTCTACCAATAAAAGTTTCTCATTAATGTTCGGGAAAACATTGTACACAATAACTTAGTAGAGTCGTATATTCTAAAGTTGTTTAACTGTATCTTCCTTCAAGACGTATTACCTGAACTTCTGGCCAATTTTTCTCAGGGTGTTTGCACAATAACGTTTCAAGCAAGATGAAACCCCAGCTCACTTCAGATTTCAAGCAGCAAGCTTCTATGGGTACCATGAGATAGGACTTAGTAGATCTGTTCCCTAGCCACTATTTTTTCCAGATTTGACATGCTTGAATTTCTTAATTTGAGATCAAAAAGCATAATACCTATCAAATATACCTGTACCATCTGAAGATCTGGTTGCCTATTGTCTGTTGCTGCTGGTAATGTTTCTAATATAGGCCAATCTATGCACCCCCACTCAGAATCTTGTATCTCTCTTGAAACTCGTTTTTTGGGCAGTTATTATAAACCGCAATTTGATTGTAAACTGGTTGCAAGCTGTTGTAAACTCTTAATAAGTTGTTTTCTTTTATATAACTTACCTTTTCAATTTCTTGAGCTTAGTACTGCTTTGCTTGCAATTGCTTTAACGCTGTATTTGCATATCTATTGTACATTCATATTCAAAATCAGTTTATTTAGGTCACCTCACCCTGCCTTTGCGTTTTTGACAAATAGTTGTGAACCATTTTATATGTAGGGCACAGTGTCAGTGGAAAGGTGCGGGCAAGGTGGGCATCAGCCCTGAGCACCAGGTTACAGGGGTGCCAAATGAGACCCAGATTTAATGTTCTCTAAATTATTGATTTTCCCCTTTTTAAAATATTGTTTGTTTGTGAAATATATTAATGTTTTTAAATGATATATTCTCATATTAACTTTTTTTATGGTTAAAATTTCTCTATGTATAAGTTTAATTTAAGCTTCACACCAATATCCCATAGAGGTAATGCAAAGCAAAAAACAGAAGGAGGAGTGACCTTAGAGAATAATCATGTATACTTTGGTCTCTTTTCATTTAGTCCTAGATTCATTCTTTTCAATTTAGTGTTCATCATGCGAGTTTTATGAAATTAGGCAGGATTGTGTTTTTAATGTAACATCACTTTGGAAATTAAGTAAGCTATCAGAACATTTTTTATCTAACTTAAATTATTTTTTTAATCAAAGATAAAAAAAATGTAAATTAATGATTCTTTTTAACGCTATGTCTCGATGTGTCATCCATTATTTTACTATATTTAGCCTTTTCTGTTTTTATTTATTTTTAAATTCCTGAGAATCCTCATCATAAATTTAAAATAGTCAGATGTTTAAAGCTCTATTTCAAAAGAACTAATCGACCGATTTCGTTCAAATTTTTGTATTTTGCCATCTAAAAAAATGCTCTTTAAAATTAGGTAAAAATTTGCAAGCTTCACAAATCAAAACTATTTTGACTAGTAAAAAATAAAATACTTAAAAATTATAAATAAGTATTTTTATTTTTTCATGGAATTATCTTTGGATTAACGAATTTCATAATTGCCAAAATGTATTGAATTCTTTTTAAAAGTTTTCGAACTACGGCAAAATATTCAAATTGTAAAATTAACATTAAGGGGATTAAACTTAGAACCGCTCTCCTGACCAAACTGTTGTGATCATATTTCCCAAATTGTGGCTGCATCCTGCAATTGTGGCTGGGGTTAGAAATCCGAATGTGTTTAAAAAGAATTATATTTGTTCGAAAACGGTACGTTTTTGTGTCTGATTTTGTAACTTAAAATATTGTCAGCGGTAACTAGCATATTTGAAGGCACCCGCTCGAAGCATTAATATTGAGTCCTACTTTGTTAATGTCTGATCATTAAATCAAAAGTTATTTAAATGTTTCTTTTTTTGCACTCTAAATCCTGTGTGTCAAATGCTCTCCTAATGAAACAACATGGAAAGAAATATATGGGAACTTGGCTCTGAATAAAAATCTCCAGAGGCCAACTGTGGGGCATACAAAACTCTGCCTCATAATTATATTTTTTGGTTCATCAAACTAGTTTATTGAGTTCTCTTAATTGACTGTCAATTTTAATAGGCAATACTATTCTGCCAAAGGAGGTATAAAGTATCAAATTTATAAATTACATTATACTCTAGTAACTTATTCAATTAGAACAAACCAGGTTTGCTGCAATGTAGAAAATTTTAGAACCTGGTAGAAAAAATCATAATATTTTAACTAACTCCTGATTGCAAAAAAAACATAACATGATTTTTAAGTTAAATGAAATACATCTAACAACTGTCAAGCTGAAATCCTAAAGTCAAAGTGAAATTAAAAAATTTAAAATTTTCTAAAGCCTTGTGAAACATTTGTCAAAACTCTTCTGTTCAAGACGGTAGAAAGCCTTTTGAAAGAGGTTAAAACTAATCTCTCACTTAGAAGTAATCTAATATGGTTACTGATTAACGATCCAACAGTAAATTTAGAAAACTGATATAATTCCTATTTTTTAGACACATTGAGCAATTGGTATGCATTGAATTATGATATTTTAACATATTTCCTTTTATTGAACAATAAAGTAAGCACAAGAAACTAGAGCATGTCAATTGAACAATTTTAAGTGGTATTAAAAACAGGGTTTGTGATTTAAAAAAAAAAAATCAGATTTTTTTTATTTAAATCAGATTTTTTTGATTTTTATTCAAATTAATTGTTAGAACTTTAATTTATGATTAAAAAACATTTATAAATGTTTAATCAAAATTAAATTAATATTAAAGCTATATTATAACAATATTTAAGAAACTCTAACTTACTAAAATAATTTTCTGTTATAATACATTGCTTTGAATGCATAGCAACCATTTTGAAACAAATGCATGATTGAAATTTCAAGACTAGATGAAATAGAGAATTTAAAGAATACTTCTGGGGTTTGTCTAGGTTTTTCTGAGAGGTACTTAGTTTGGGAAAATTTAGACATAATTTGTGAAAATTAGAAATTATATTAAAAAATCAACACAAAAATATGGATTTATCGTTTCTTACGAGACACAAAAATAAAATTTGACGAAAAAGTATTTTTCTAAAGTTGAATTTGTGAAGGTAACGCTAAGCAGTAGTAAATTTGGCTTGGATAGACCCCTGTTCTTTAACCATTAAAACAAAGCTTCAATTAGCAAACCATAATTTTAATTTAAAATTCTGATTTTTTTTCTCTTGATTTTTAATATGACAAAATAAATGTAACAGATTGTGCTTATGAATGTAGTCATTCATCAAAAAATAAATAAATATTTGATCTATATATTTTTATATTAAAATATTCATTTTTAACCCTATATCGAAATAGATAAGTTAAGCTAAAAAATTTTTTAAAAAAATCCATGTACTCATTGGAATTTCTTTTCACAAAATTTCTTTATAGGAAATTTGATAATGTCAAAGATACTGTAAACATATTATGAGAAAAAAAATACCCGTTACCAGTTAATAACTCTACTGCTTCAAATAGACTTTGAAAAAGTTAGAATGGAAAAAATTACACCATATCAGGAAAAAAATATCTGAATTCATCAGCCTTTTTTCTTTCTTTCTATTTTTGGCATATTAGGGTAATTTCTTTTTAATATAACCTCAAGCTTTAGAAATATACATTTTCCACCAATAAAATATAATGTGGATTTTAGTTCTATGTTTTTTCCATCAAAAGGTAGAATTTTAATTAACATTATTTGCATTTTTTTTGGAGAA